AGGGTGAGAGGCTGCAGGGAGGGAGAGGCTGGGCTCTTTTTCAGGGTGGAGGATTGTGGGAAAGAAATTTGACCCCAGCTGTGTCCAGATGTAAGCATCCTTGAGCTTTAATCCAGTGGTTTTTCCCATGTTTGAGGTTTGTGGACGTGCAGGGAACAGTCCGTAGAATCGGCTTCTGGTTCTTGAAAGGAAGCAGCGGAGTCCCACCCCAGTGGTTGGCCCTTCCTGAGGAGATGCACCCAGATCCTCCCTTAGCCTCCCTCCCGGCCTGTTTGCTGCCTCCAGCAGAGCAGGAGGAGTTATGCTGAGCCCAGAAACAGGTTTTCTTTTGTTTGGAATTCCTCCAGTGCAAAAATCAGGAGGAGTCAGGTAGCCCCTTTTCTGAGTGCCAAATTGTATTCAAAGTTGTGAACTGCGGCTCCCTTCAGGAAATGCATAGAGTGGCTGGACTGGTACATCAGTAGTCAGCAAAGGGGCTGCCAGTCTGATTTTTTGCCATCTTAGACGAACACGGCTTTCCTCCTGTAAAGAACAAAACGTCACTGTGTGTTGCTGCTCTAAGAAAGAGGCGCAGACATTGTTTTACGATCAGTGATCTGCTGGGATTCCTGAGGCTCAGCCGAAAACCAAAGGCAAAAGCCTTGTGTCAGACAACTCTGTGTATGCTGATAACTTCCACTGACATTTTTTTACCCTGGACTTCCAAAACTGCAGAATATCAGTCTTTTATTGACGATAGCATCACAATTATACAAAAAATGCTCAAATTTTATTTTTATGCTGATATCCCAGGCTGTCAGGTCTACGATGTTCAAACCTCCACGAAGAAAGATCTCTTGAAACCTGAGTTAGGCTCAAAAAGAAATTCATCTATTGAGATGTACATGCAGCTTCAGAGCATTGCTGAAACTAAAAGCCCGCGCTTTCCCACTCTACTTTTACCCTCCTGTTTACCCTCCTTCCCCTCAGCCAGTCCTGGGTTCTCATGTTGGTGCGACCTTGTACCTTCCTGGCTTCAGATAACAGTCCATCTGGGTTAAGGTCTCACCTTCCTTGCTCCCCCTTCCCCCTGCTAAACTAATGGCAGAAACAAGCAAGCAACTAATGAGCTGATAGACTGATTGCTGGAGGTTCTGACACAGGCACAATAAAATACCCCTTTGGTTTCTTTACCAAGTATCAAATCACAAGCACCATGGCATTCAGTGAGAGCCATGAGTTTTGTGCAAGAGAAATTTAAAGTTCTTTTGTTCTCTCTTATTTGTTGTTGATCAGAATGAAATAGGAAACAGATAGACTCAGTTATCTCTGAAAGATGACAGGGTCATCTGGATGTTTCATGGGATTAAATTGTTATGGTAAATCAGGCATTTTGTCTGGTAAAAGCTCCATCTGGAGGGAGTCAGAGGCCTCTTCTGCGAATTAAAGGAGGTCGGATGGCCTGACAGTTAAGGGGATCCACAGCTGGCTGGACCATCTTCCTCAAGGAGGGCCCACTGATGGATCCTCATCAAGTGGAGGGTATCAGATGGGGGGCCAGAAGAATCAGCCCTGCGTCCTCTATTCCCAGAGCCCATTCTGGGAAAGACCCATTAATGCAGATTCAGAGCAATTGGAAAAGGTTCCCAGAAGAGCAACAAGGCTGATCGGGGATAAAAACCGAATCCTCTGTAGATGAAGAGAATCCTCTGTAGATGAAGAGAAGGAGCTCAGCGTGTTTAGCCTTGAGAAAAGGGGTGGCGGTCTGTGATAGCATTTGTTGAATGAGCGGACGCTGTCACAGAGATGGAGGACAAGATCTGTTGTCCCTCATTCCTGAATGCAGGGCATGGATTTAAATTAGAGAAAGGCCTTCCCGGGGTCCTCCCTCTAACCCCGGGGTGTGCCTGAGGCAAGAGGATTCCCACCTCCTGGGCTGCCTTCCTGGCAGTCGAAAGCTCCAAACGCAAAGGCGGAAACAGTTGTTGTCCTGCCACTCCCTGGCCAGGTGACAGAGTGTAGAAGTGAGGATTCACTCCTTTCTTCTGCTCTGGGGACAGACCAA